CAACGAGGCCGTCGTGGCAGGCGTTTTCAGTACCGGGACTGAAAAGGTGGCGAATGCTGCTGAAACGACGATGATGTCATCATCGTCGTCGTTTCCAGTCGTGCTGGATAAGAAGAATAAGGTGAGTGTGAAGGTTGAGAGGGCGAGGAAGTCGAGGAGCAAGAGGGAGAAGGAGGACGAAGAGGAGGTTTTGGTGGTCGAAGGGATCCAGTTCGACTGCGAGAAGTTTGTGAAGTTCGACGTGTACGTGAATGATGAGGACGACGTGGTGGTGGGGCCTGGCAGTGCGGAGTTTGCCGGGAGTTTCGTGAACGTGCCGCACAGGCACAAGGGTGGGAAACATGACAAGACGAGGACTTGTTTGAGGCTGGGGATTACGGATCTGTTGGAGGATTTGGACGCCGAGGGGGATGATAGTGTGGTTGTGACTCTGGTGGCCAGGACTGGGGTTGCCGGTGTTGGTGGCGTGAAGATTGAATTCCTTCGTGATTGATACGATATGGTTGATGTTTCCATGCATAGAAAAACTTATGTGCCATTCTTTCTGAAGTCAAAATATTAACACAAAATACTCTATTTCAAATTTTGTGGATACAACATTCGGTATGGTGATATAATATCTGGTATAATTGTTATTTTTCTCAAGTGTAATCGACAATATGAATGTATATATATATATAGGTTTCAACTCATTACAAAAGTCGTGCATCTTAAAGTTAAGTCCGAAATTGCATCTTAAGAAAAGATAAGTCTTGACTTTCAGTGTGCCAAGGGTGAAGTTAAGAAAGCAAAAAAGGGTAAATGTCATATTTGGTCACTGAGATTACTAAATCGTGTTATGTTTAGTCACTAGAAAAATTTAATATCGATTTTAGTCACTTGAATTACTAAAACAGGTTACATTTAGTCACTCTCCCATTAGCCTCTGTCCAACTCCGGTCACTCGAATTACTGAAACGTGTCATATTTAGTCATTCGAATTACTGAAACAAGTCACATTTAGTCACTCTCCCGATAGTTTCCGTCCAACTCTATTAATGAAGTTGGACAGAAACTAACGGGAGAGTGACTAAATGTGACTTGTTTCAGTAATTCGAGTGACCAAAATTGATATTAAAATTTTCTAGTGACTAAACATGACACGATTTAATAATCTCAGTGACCAAATGTGGCATTTACCCAAGCAAAAAAATAAATTGTCAGAAGTGGGATTTGAACCCACGCTCCCTCACGAGAACCAGAACTTGAGTCTGGCGCCTTAGACCACTCGGCCATCCTGACATTTTTGTTACAAAATTTTGTTTTTCATGAATGTATAGAGAATGGAATTTAAAGTAGCTCATATTTGTTAATGCCAAATGAGAATTGTCAGTTATGCTCTGGCGTTCAAAACCTGTGCCCATACCTGTTTGGACAGAGTATTTTTTTTTTGTTTTGTCTTTCAATAGTGCGAATTATAGCATTTGTAGTTTTGAGCCTGTTTGTTAAAATATTGAAGTTTAGATACTAAATAAGAAAAAAATAAAATTATACAATCAAATGCATTTTCTGTTAATGGTAATATTTTACTAAAACCCCCCAAATACATAAAAATAAAAATTATAAAATATAAAGTAGCTAAAATGAATTCGAATTACATATATAATATATTTGAAACGTGAATACCAATAGTTTGTGGTTGTGGTACTATGGCAGACACATTAATGCGTTTACCTACTACAAAAGTGATTTTATAATTTGTTTGCATGCATATTTTTCATATTCGTACGATGAAGTGAATAAATCTTTTGACAGATTTCTCTGCCTCCGGTGCGCCTGGTGTTTGGTTTATGCCATCATCGTCCAACAACTATGTAGTGATTATTTAGTCTTGGACACCTGGACAACACTATTGCTACCTACCACCAGACAAATAGCAAGTTGTTAAAAGAGAGACAAAATGACAATCCTGTCCTTGGGCACATTATTTTTTTGGTACCCACGACGATTTATTGTTCTCATGAGCATCTTTGACCTTTCAAAATAATATCCATAATATATGGTTATGTTAATGTAGGTTCGATTTCCCCAATTATTGCGAACGAAACTCCACAAAAGATAGGTTTGTGATCAACATTATGGTATTCTCTAAAATCGGTTGATGATATATGAAAAGTACATAGAAATTTGAGAGTTTTCTCGAGTTTGAATGGACGTACGGATGAGAGATGGAGCTACGTGTAGTTCAGAGTAGGTCGCAACCCTTTACGATATTTAGGTTATATAATGTGAAATATAGGGAAATTAGACGCTGAAAAAGTGTGATAGGATGGTTGTAAGGAAATGGTTGAAATCCATACACGGATTGGACGTCTCTCGATGTATAACTCGAGTTATTGGACCAGCGCTGCTGGTTTATGACATGGTATCAGAGCCAGTTTGTCCTTGGGGTCAATTGCTCAAGTCTCCTCGCGACCCCCAATGTTAACCGCTGTCTTAAATCATATGATATAGCTAGAGAGTATAAAATCTATCACAACAACTCGAATTGTTGAAATCAGTTGGTTGAAGACAATGATTAACTATTAACACCCCTTCATTCATGACTAGCGTTCAATGTAAATAGATTGTTACCATTCTAATTTCACTCTAAATCATGACTAGGGTTTTGAGCGTTGAGCCCCGACTTTCACGTGTTTATGGAAATGAATCCTCTTTCAGTCTTCAATGTCTTAACGTGCCTGTCCTCTTCCGTCTTCACTCAATGTTTTAGGCGGTCCAGAACTAAAACGTACGTATATTATACGTGTGTATGTGAATTATATTAAAATCCAGTCCTAAATATCATATCTTGTCGGCGAGGTGAATGATGGCACAAATAGTTGTATTATCGTCACAGATTGTGAATGATGAGAGTTTGGTTTAACAGTATTTGAAAATTACTGGTTTGAATCCCATAACTAGTGCGTAATAATAATAATAATAATAATAATAAAAGATCGTTCATTATGTAAGGTTTTTTGTAATGACACTTTACAAAGTGATGCGTAAGGCTTTCATAATGACTTAATATTTTCGTAACTCAAAATAATAATTAATATTAATTACATAAAATGACCGCCCATCACACGCAAGACTTCTGTAGTGACACTTTACAATTGTCATGTAAAACACACATTCATTACGTAAAATTTACAATATAGTTATTTTTTTATGTAACGGTTAAATCAGAAGAGCTGCGTTAAAATTTCTGTAATGGCCTAACACTTTAGATATTTTACACGAGGTTAACATTCGTTACGTATAGAAACCGTCCATTATTTGAGATTTTCGCAATAACTTCTTACATCTGTTGTGTAAACAAAAACATGCGTCATGTAACCATTATATAAAAACTACAATAACAGGTAAATTTTTTTTCTAAGTTACCTGTCTTCAAAGTATTGTAGGAAATTATAAGAAAAAAAAAAATAAACGGATGTATTCCTTTCTTCTTATCAATTCGAATTCACTGCAATTTATTCACGTGTATCTTATTGCTATAAAATCAGGATGTCGTTCTCAATGATTTAATTTTGTCTCAATCGATACCGCAAAAGCAGATTTAGTACAGAGCACTAGTAGCAAAGATAGGAGCAAAAAACACCAAAAATATAGTTGCTCTCGACCTAGCCATCGCCCTTTCCTGCTCCAATGATGTTAACCTTTCCAAAAATGACAAAACGAAAATATAAGAAGTGAACACAACCGGGTCAACATTTTGATTGTGTGATATTTTATAAAAAAATCATGTATTATTTTAGAATGCGACATTTCAATTTGTGTGGTAATTGGATTTTGATTATCTTGTTTGGATTGACCATTCACATATTGTAATATTCCAATATCACCCAAGTGGGAAAAAGGCTATCACCAGATGAGTTATTTCAATTAATTAGGGGTGGGGTGATAATTCAAATAACTTAGAATTAATTATTTCCATTGTCTCCTCGATAAAATACCACAACTCGTTTTATTTTTGTAAAACGAGTTATTTTGAGCAAAGTAACTCGGAATAAGTTATTTAGGCCAAAATACCTTACTGAAATGCTACATCCGAACGACGTAAATCTCTGTAATGTGGCAAAACAATATAGATCTCATCAATGGCATGCTTTATTCTAATCTTTAGCTCCACATAATATAGGATATGTGTAGATTTCCATTCATGTTTTGCGTAGTGATTTGTTCTGACCATTTCAGATTTACTTGGCTGATTAATTTCATCTGATTTTATGAGCAAATTATTGAGAGGTGGAACATGGGTCTCTCTTAATGCTCGTCTATTGGTTTTTTCACTAATGATACATGGAGTGGTGAAATGGTGGAGTAGGGGGTTCATTTTACCAAATTTTGATTTTGGAGTTACTGATGACGAAAAAAATTTCATCTATTGTGGCATTTGATCCCATGATAAGAGCAGTCAATTAATCGTATTTTGGACCCTTCATAATTGTACTTCTATTTCTAGAGAGACTATATGTGTATTGCGTACCTATCGATGACTCATTTATGTCGGTCATTGTACATGACATGATTTTCTATGTCGAGTGAGTGCGTGATTTTACTTAATACAAATTAGAAGATCATAAACCAGCGATAGAGTTAGGAATCTGAAAAAAGGGAGTTAAACCGTAGTAATTGGGTTCTCAATTATAGACTACTACATATCATAGATTCGTTACAAACATTACATCATGATGTCACCGCGCAGTCATCAACTCGCTTCAGTACGGCATTGACTCGCGATACTTACTTAATTTTTTTTATCGTGAAATCGAATTTATCTACGAACTCGTAATCCTCTCATAAGACAAATGTTTCGCATCCAATCCCATTTTTTGAAGTTTTTTTTCACGAAAATCCTCTTCACCTACCCAAGAAAGGTCGTATAATTCGACAAATATCCATTTGTTACGACTCTAATTATCACAACCATACATGGACCGACTATTTCGACTATAAATATCGGCTCTGGGACACATCTTTCAACACACAAAAACATCCCCTCCCCAACATCAAACCACCGCCATGTCATCACTCTCTCCACTCCCCGCCGCCACCGGAGCCGCCACCGCCGCCTTCCTCCGCCCTTCCCTCCTCCCGCCGAAAAAATCCGCCTCCCAACTCTCCGCATACAAATCCCGAAAACCCTACTCCCCTCACTTCGCAAGAATCTCATGCAAAACTTCCTCGTCCGACAAAGAACCAAACAATAATGACCAAACCGGCCCCACCACGAGGCGTGACATCCTCATCGGAATGGGCAGCCTATACGGCGCCGCATCGTCCCTCTCCGACCCGACCGCTTTGGCCAACCCGCTCCAGCCCCCGGACCTCTCCAAGTGCCACCCCGCTATCAAGGGCGACGCCGGCGACACCGCGGACTGCTGCCCGCCCTTCTCCGACCAAATCGAATTCAAATTGCCGTCACCCAAGGAACCCATGCGCATCCGACCCGCCGCCCATCTTGTCGACAAGGCCTACATCGACAAGTACGAGAAAGCCATCAGCCTCATGAAGGCCCTCCCCGACGACGACCCGCGGAGCTTCAAGAATCAGGCCAACGTCCACTGCGCCTACTGCAACGGCGCCTACGACCAGGTCGGCATAACCCCGTCCGTCGCCCTCCAAATCCACTTCTCCTGGATATTCTTCCCGTTCCATAGGTATCGTAAATACTCCGTTTAATACACGCACCCCACGTATTTCATGCTTTTTAAATATTAGTTTCCGTACTATTGTCACGAAATACGTATTATGACATATTTCTATATTTTATGACTATTGACGTACTATTAAACATATAATTAGTTCAATTTAATAGGTATATATATAGGGTCAGACTGGTGTACGTCAGGCGTATACTATACGTCAGGTACTACAAGTGAAATATCTCTATCTAGACCGACCATGAATTAAATCGAGTTTGGGGTATGATACTATACCCTAACCTCTAATGGATAAACCCTAGGCACCGATTTTCTAAACCCCAACCTGAAGTTTGATTTAGTGAAAAACAAAAATTGACCGTTGAGATCGGTCGGAGCTAATCTAAGTACATCTAACGGCTAGATCACCTGATGTATACTATGCACCTGACGTACACCAGTCATTACCATATATGGGTATATATATATATATATATATATGAATGTATGTATTTTATGACACTACAAAAAAAAGAGGCTATAACGAGGGTAGAAAACGGTCGTTAATTGTCCAAAAACTCTCGTTAAAGGTTATTAACGACGGGATACGACCCCTCATTATAGGCTTTGCCGGTAAAAGTCATTAACGACCGGAAAATTCTATCCGGTCGTTGAAAGTATCAACGACGGTAGTTCTTCCCATCGTTAAAAATCAAGTTTTGCTAGTAGAATTTTAGGCAATACCGATAGCTAAATTCCTGTCGTTATTAACGTTGCAAGAACAGAATTTCTCATCGTTGATGATTCCTTAATGAAGATGACTTTTTAATTCTGATGACAAGTTCAATCATAAAAAAACCATTTGTCCGCATATTTTACTAAAAGCAACCACTATGGAACATATTGAAAATACTACAAACAAATTAGTTCTTAATCATTTAATTAGTATTAAAGCACGTCATTGTGCTTTAGCAAAATAAAATACAAGTAATTAATTCAACTCTTAATACAAACGGTATAAACTATATTAACTTCCTAAGTGAATGCCCCAAAGTATTCCTTTCTTAAGCTTCTTGAAGCATTCTTGTTTGATCCCCTGAAGCTTGCGTATGTCGTTCTAAGTCTTTTGCTGAAGCAATGGAAACACAATCATGTATTAATGATAAGAGTAAAATTATGGAAAGATACAGCTAACGAAAACAGAAGAAAAAGAGTAGATGTATAAATCAATTTGCATTAGAGTTTACCTTCTCAAAGCTTCAAGAACTGTCAATGGATTTGGAACTCCACTCTCCTAATTAGACTACTTGCAAACAGAACACTTGATTAACCTGCAAAAAAGACACAACAATTACTCTCTTTCAAACAGTCAATAACAGTGGACTCAACCAAAAATACCATGCTACTTCCATTTTCTACAAATATCCAAATCAATTAAGAAAAAAGAAACCAGTTTCATTTACTAAGAACTCCCAACTTACAGAAGGAGCCCAACAAGAAGAAACCATACATTCATAGTTCACAGCAACAACACACCATTAATATGCCAAATCAATCAACACAACCAACCACCATCTTATTTTCTTGCTAGAAGCAAACACCCAATAGAATCCAACTTGAACAAACACCACAAATAGACCACCAGCAAATAGCAGAGCCAACTGCCAATTGCGCAATTAAAACCCTTTCCCATTGAATAGGTCTAGAACCATGGACAACATAGTACTTCAGCAGAAAGAAAACACTCCAACAGAAATGCCAACCAAAAGGATACGGCCTGCCATCAGAAGTGCTCCACCAATTACATGAACTCAATCTTAAGACGTTACAGGGGAAGTCCATGGTAGCTGCTCCCTGAATTTTGTCCCCTGCAAAACAAAAACAAAAAATCACAGTGCCCCTCCAAGGGAACACAATGTGAAGATCGAAATACTAGAGTAAACGAAGAAGAATCAATCAAAATGAATCAGAAAAAAAAAAACGAACATGCCACAATAAACAATCAGATAATGGAGCAAGAGATTTGGATAGACGCTTGAAACCCTAGCCCACTTTGATTGATTCTAACATGAAGAGGGGTTTTGATAGTAGAGGAGTTAGGGATGGAATGGAGGAGCAAAAGGTGTGATCGAGAAGAGGTGATAGTGGAGAAGAACGAAGATGGTGTCGGTAGAAGACGATGCCTGAAGAGATTTCTCGGACAGGGCTCTCTCTGCGCGAGAGCGACAACGAATGAGGGCTGAAAGAATTAGGGATTGGGATGGGTTCCAATTTTGCTTTTTTAGCCAGGAGACAGTTGCGGGGCCAGAATGGTAAAAGAAAAAAGAGACAGAGACGAAAAGGGGTGGAAAGAGGAGGGGAGCGGCGGTGAGGGAGACGGAGGCCGGAGGACCAGGGTGAGTCGGTAAGGAAGCGTGAGAAAGAACGCTTCCACCGCTTGAGTCGAGGAAGATGAGTGGATCTCTTTCGGCTGAAAATGCTTTTAACTTTACCAAGTTTAAAGTTCAAATCCATTCCTTTGTGGATGTACAAAAAAGGCCCGGGAAATGAAAATTTATTTTGGCGGACTTTGAATTGAAATTTTCAATGCTATTAACGATGGGATGGGCTTGTCGTTATATGCGTTAAAGCAATAACGAGGGGATAATAACACTTTTCACGAGGAGAATTATATACCCCTCACCATAAGATGGCCCATCACACTTTTATGGTTTTAACGACAAGATTTGATACCCTCGCCAATTTTCCCCCTCGTTATAGCAAACTTTTTATGTAGTGTGAGTGTTTAAAATTTTAGTTTTGGTACTATTGTCAAATTGTTTATTTTCTCCCTTGTCCATTTAATGGCGCTCCCGTATGATGAGTTGAATATCGGTATTTAATGAATTAAAATATAAAAATAATTAATTTCATATATTATATTAGTACTACTATACATATTTTATATGTAACTTACTCGTAAAGTATTTTACTAGGTACTACCTCTACTTCTTCGAGCGGATCTTGGGGAAGCTGATCGACGACCCGACTTTCGCGCTGCCGTTCTGGAACTGGGATTCTCCGGACGGGATGCAGATCCCGGCGATTTTCGCCGACCCGGCGTCGCCGCTGTACGACGCGATCAGGGCCCCGGACCATTTACCCGGGGGAAGTTCTCCGCTGGTGGATTTGGATTGGAGTAGATCGGCCGCGAGCTTGACGCCGGAGGCCCAGTGGCAGAGCAACCGGGACGTGATGCACACGCAGATGGTGAGCGGGGCGAAGAAGCGGACCTTGTTTTTCGGGACTCCGTTGAAGGCTGGGGACCTCGCCGATGGTAACGGTCAGGGAACTCTCGAGCGGACCCCACACGGAAATCTGCATATCTGGGTGGGTGATCTCACGCGCGAGTATAAGGAGGATATGGGGAATCTGTACTCGGCGGGGCGGGACCCACTTTTCTACTGCCACCACGGCAACGTGGACAGGATGTGGGACCTGTGGAAGACGCTGGGGCCCAGGAGGACGGATTTTACGGATCCCGACTGGCTGGACGCCGCCTTCTTGTTCTACGACGAGAACTGTAAACTGGTGAGGTGCAAGATCAGGGACAGTCTGGATAACGAGAAGCTGAGGACGGGCTACCAGTCCGTCCCCATTCTCTGGAAGGACTCGAAGAGGGTCCCTAAGAAGATTAGGAACAAGGCCACTGCGGCCACGGCCACTAAGAAGAAGAGGGAGTTGACCGATCTGTCCGAGTTCCCCCTGGTGCTGAACAAGACGATCAGCGTGGCGCTGCCCAGGCCGAGGAAGAACAGGACCGCGACGGAGAAGGAGGACGAGGAGGAGATACTCGTGGTCGGAGGGATCGAGATCGACCGGAGCCAGGTCATCAAGTTTGACGTGGCGTTGAACGACGATGACGATGGGGCCCCTGCGGGGCCCCAGGACACCGAGTTTGCCGGCGCGTTCGTCAACGTGCCGCACAGGCAGAAGGCCGGAGCGAGCAACTTTAAGACGGTGCTGAGGCTGGGGATAACGGATCTGCTCGAGGACCTTGACGCGGACGACGACGACACGATCGTGGTGACTTTGGTGCCCAAGGTTGGCGAGCCTGTGATAGGTGGTCTGAAGATCGATTACCTTGCTGATTGATTCGATCGATTCGGTGTTTTGGTCAATCGTAATTGTGAGAGGTCGATCCTTTTATCTGGTAATTTCTTTCAGTATCTATTGTGCCGAGGCGAAAATAACGAACCTTTTTTGTTCCTAGCTAAGCCCATCGGCTTGTGATTTGTGTACTAGCGATTGATGTTGCATGTTTATGTACTTGAACTTGTCGATTTAAGGTTACAGTGTATGCCCCTCTAATAAAATTGTCGTTTTTTTTTTCTTCAATGATTATGAATCACAATATGCACTTTTTCTTTTTTTAACAAAATCACAATATGCACGACCCAAGGATGCAAGCAATTGTTTACAATACACACATATATATATACCTAGTAGCCGAATTGCTTGTTGAGGTGTTTGTTTCAATAATGTTGTAACTTGGTAATTTGATTATATTCCCCACTAATTTCAAACAAGGGGACCGATATAGACAGATTCCCGCTTGGTCGAAAGCGGCCTCTTGTCCATGAGTTTGAAGAGGATTGATTGGAGTGGTCTAGGATGGCAATTTTGCTCGAATCAATGGGTATTTGCTTATTTAATTCAATTAGTTTAAGTATGAAACTCAAATACAAGGTATAAATGAGTAAAATTTGATGAATTTACACTTATACCCATTTATTTGGGTTGAATTGAGTTCTTAATCCATGAGTTTGGGTTTGTACCCATGTATATTTTGCAAATTACAATTTGGTACTTAAACTTATCTTTAGGTTTAGTACCTAATTTCCCCCCACATATAAGTCTACAAAATATCGAATGAAATTACATTTTAGTACATAAATATTTTATATATTACATCTTGATATATACCTACGCTCTTTAAATTGTAAAAGTACGCATCCAATATTGAATGTATAGTTAAAACATTTGGAGTGCATTGTTGAGCATCATAGGAAGAGAAAGGTGTTAAAAATGTATGCAAGGGCAAGCCGAAGTCCGGAGGACATTATATCTCAAACTCAAAGTTTCTGCGATTTGGTCTTTTTTTTTTTTTTATCTTTGCTCGGATGCTGTAGTAAAATGGTAATTATTTCTTGATAGTAGTTATTAAGGGTCTCTACATTTTACTCATTCATATGATTGATGCCATAGTATCTATTTTTTTATTAAACAGATACCAACCACTTCATAAAAAAAATCGGCCCAAGTACAAATTTATTATATTTCACTAAGTTTTTCTTTCAAGAAAATGTACATATTTCACAAGCCTACATACCATCTTTCTTAAGCCTGAATAAGAGACCTAAAAAAGTCTGGTTATCGTGTTAAACACCTCTGACAGGCATCATCGATCAAATCTTTTCGATATAGAGGTGTTAAATTTTGTGCAACAGAAGTTATCTGCATATATCTGAATTTTTAAGAATAAGGTAAATCCAACTCATTAAATCAGGTTGTCTAAATTTTTTTTACCATCGATTAACTTGGTGAAGAAATTAAATTCATGTGACATTAATTATGATCACGCCAATGATATAGACAATCCTGTTATCTATAAGAATGAATAGCTTTTTTTAATAGAATGAATGAATATCATATTATTTTAACTAGTTAAGTGACATTGATCTTGGCAGAAAGACCAACTTGTTATCAGCAAACCTGTTTTTTTTTTTTTATAATTTATTCTTAAACTAGTGGAGTGTAGTAAGCTTTCCCATACTTACCACCACTTTGAATAAAATAGCATTGTGAGAACTATAGTTCCTTCTAAATTACACGTAGAAGCACTTTGGCCTATAACCCGGACTAATTCCAACGTGTTTATGAAAATAACAGTCCTCTTCACAAGTGGCGAGGAGAGTATGATATAAACCAACAACCTCAATCTTGTTATCATCCTGTGAACTCCAATTAATTACAATTTACTGACGTGGATCTTATTGCTAAAAAATTAAGATGCATTTCTCAATGATTTTTGTCCCAATCGATACCACAAAAGCAGCTTTTGTTCGGGAGCAATGGTAGCAAAGAATCAAACCAAAAGCACCCAACACATAATGCTCTCGACCTGGTCCTCACTTTTGCCTTGCTCCAATCACATTAACCTCTCCAAAATGATAAACAAAACCATGTAATTAAGTAATAATCAACAAACACAACGTGTTATGTGCCCAAACTATATAAAATTTCAACAATGACGTGGTGATTTGTTTGAATCCTATCAACACATAATATAGGATAATATTCGTAAGTTTAGGTGTGGAGTCATGCTCTCTACAGCTATGAGCTACCTCAGAAGACAGAAGGTATGTAATAATGTAGAGCTTATGAGCAGTTCTTGTCATCTGTTTGCTTATAAATGGTATCTATCTATAAATTAAAACTAGTTTTTTAGCCGTTCGTTGGTTGGGTGAGTTTTTATTTTAATTATCATTTATAACACACTGAGAACACAAATTTTTAAAAGAGCTTTAAAAAGAAAATAAGAGAATGGACCAAATGGAAAATGAAGAGCATGTGATTTTTGGTTTTGTAAGTTTTAGGTTATTTTTCATGTTCTTTTATCTCTATTTATGATTTTGATTTACAGATCTCAATATAAATTTAATTTTTTTCTTGATATTATTCTTAATTAAACCATCAAGATTCAGAGAAAATAATTAAATTTTCATTCCAAACATTATAAACAGAGTTATGCCTTATGATCAAATGTTTTCTTTGATTATCTGGATGATAATTATTGTCATTTTTATAAATGAATTAGAGACTAATACTTTGCTAAAGTTGTTACAATTTTAGGATCGAGTTATATTAAAAAGAAATGTAAATGGACTAACTTAAAATGGCAGATAATAAATTATAACTCCCTAATTCATTATAAAAGGGAAAGGTAAAATAAGTATATATCCAAGTGGATATGAAATATATAATTAAAAAGAAATTATTATTAGTGATGACTAATTATGAAAATAAGATTCTAACTTTTCCACCCTCTCCCTCCTCTTCCTCGTACACAATTGGTGTATGGTTGATGGCGCACTCAAGCATGGTCAAGGGGTAGTGTTCTCTTTGCCTTCAAAAAGTATTATGATGGTATACAAGATCCATTTGTAATGAAATATTTTGCTTTATGGGATGCCACACACTGATGTCTAACGCATTCTTTTTTTTTTTTCCTATCAAATTTCATGGGGGTTCTCAACAACTGATTCGGCGGATGGTGAGAGGTGACTTAGCTCATGATCAGGGTGAAGCTTTTCTCGAAGGATGCTTGGATCTTGACTTCTCTCTTTCGTTGTGTATCTTACTGTTTTGTTCCTTGTAAACTCAATAGGGATGCCCATCTTGTGGCACAAAAAACCTTCTCATCGGGAGCTCGATTATTGGTCGACTTCCACACTCTTTTTATTTCTACTGCACGACCGAAGTTTTAACACCTGATTTCGCAAAAAAAAAAAAAAAAAAAAGCTTCTTTACTGTCTGCTGACGTTGACGCATGGAAGTAATTTTAGACTGATGTGTTAGTGCTCCAAATCCAAAACTTCTTTAATAAATTTCTGGGTCACTTTTGGTGGTGTAGATACTATTTATGGGTTTCAAACCTGAAACCTCAAGTTCAAAGTTAGTGATATACAAGTTTAGTTATGGAGTCATGCTCTCTAGAGCTACGAGGTGTTACGGGTTCAGATTGTGCATCGTGACATGCATTCTATCGTCTATAAAGAATAGTTGATTGATCTTATCTAAACTTATTCGCCAAACACTTAAAAAACAATACTTTTACTTCTAGAGAGACTATGTATGCATTACACATATTTGCATAGAGGACTCGTTACTTAATCCTCTCATAGCATCAATGTCTTGCTCCAATCCTCTATATATACCGGTTCTTGAACACACAAGTTTCAACACAAAAAACATCCCTCCCCCAACTCCAAAACCTAAACCACCATGTCATCATTCTCTCCACCCTCCGCCTCCGCCGCCGCCGCCTTCCTCCGCCCATCCCTCCTCCCGCCAAAAAAATCCGCCTCCCAACTCGCCGCATACAAAGCCCGAAAACCCTACTCCTCCCCTCACTTCGCAAGAATCTCATGCAAGAACAATAACTCCACCACCACCTCCGACGGCGGCAAAGAACCGACAACCAACGACCAAACCGGTCCCACCACGAGGCGGGACATCCTCGTGGGAATGGGCAGCTTATACGGCGCCGTTTCGTCCCTCTCCGACCCGACGGCCGCTTTGGCCGACCCGATCCAGCCCCCGGACCTCTCCAAATGCCACACCGCCACCGTGACCAAAGACACCACCGTGGCCTGCTGCCCGCCCCTCGTGCGGATCATCGACTTCAAGTTCCCGTCTCCCCGCGAACCCATGCGCACCCGACGCGCCGCCCATCTCGTCGACGAGGACTACATCAAGAAGTACGAGAAAGCCATCAGCCTCATGAAGGCCCTCCCCGACGACGACCCGCGGAGCTTCAAGAATCAGGCCAACGTCCACTGCGCCTACTGCAACGGCGCCTACGACCAGGTCGGCATAACCCCGACCCTCGACCTCCAAATCCACTTCTCCTGGTTATTCTTCCCGTTCCACAGGTATTACGCTACATAGTCTATTTAATTAATACGCGTATATATGAACCTACGTATGCATATAATGAATTAAAAATATAGGGACAAATGGGATTGTTGGATCCATGAATTAAATAGATTAGAAAAAATGGATTCGTAGGTTGATACATGGGTCCAAATGACATCCAAGTCTTGGACGGTCATTATATAAATTTTGTAAAAGTATAGGTACTAAAATTGGCATCATAAAATTTTTAGGTATCAAAACGTAATTTTCCAAGTATATATTTTTTTTGTCAAGAGATACTTTTTTAAGTACCAAAATGTAAAATAAAAAAAAGTAGGTACCAAAATGGTACCTTGCCATTTGGTTCCATGGATCGATCACTAAAACCCACCAAATCAATTGGATTTGGATTGAATTTAAATGAATTCGAAGAGTTGGATATTTTTGTAGATGGATTGTATCGCGGATTGGTTTCAAAGATAATAATCCTAGATAATTTGAATATTATTTATATTTAAAATAATTAATTTCACATCGACGTGTATCTAGAGGTGGCAATTGGATCGGATTCGTGGATTGGATTGATGGATCCTTAGATCAAATGGGTTGGTGGATTCATGGATTGGATCAAATGTATTGGTGGATTGATCCATGAATCCAAATGACATCCAAGACTTGGACCAAAATGTAAAATTTGAAAAGTTTCGGTACTAAAATATCATAATGAAAAATTTTAGGTACCAAAATGTAATTTTCCAATGATATTTTTCGTATAAAAATATAAATTTTAGGTACCAAAATGTAAAATATAAAAAATATAGGTACCAAATTGTAATTTGTCATTTGGATCCATGGATTGATCCATGAATCCACCAATCCAATTGGATTTGGATCAAATGAATTGGATTTAAATGGATTGGATTAGGTGGATAATTTGGTAGATGGATTGGATTGGATTCATGGATTTGGATCCTAATTGCCACCATATCATTAGCTAAAAAAAAAAAAGTATCGGAACGAATTTTATACGTAATTTAACCGTATCGTATTTTCACCGACTGTGTCATAGGTACTACCTCTACTTCCACGAGCGGATTTTGGGTTCGTTGATCGACGACCCGACTTTCGCGCTGCCGTTCTGGAACTGGGATTCTCCGGACGGGATGCAGATTCCGCCGATTTTCGCCAACACTGATTCGGAGCTGTTCGTCGCGCTCAGGAACCAGAAACATATACCCGGGGGAGCTTATCCGCTGCTGAATATGCATTGGAGTGATCCCATCGATGATAAGGCGCTGGCTCCGGAGGACCAGTGGGATATCAACCGGCGCGTGATGCACACGCAGATGGTGAGCGGGGCGAAGAAAAGGACCTTGTTTTTCGGGATGCCGTTGAAGGCCGGGGAGGTCCAGCCCGGCGACCACAGCCTCAGTCAGGGAAGTATCGAGGGGACCCCACATGGGACTATACATATCTGGGCGGGTGATGACACCCAGCCGCATCACGAGGATATGGGGAATTTCTATTCGGCGGGGCGGGACCCACTTTTCTACTCCCACCATGCCAACGTGGACAGGATGTGGGACCTGTGGAAGACGCTGGGGCCCAGGAGGACCGACTTCACCGACCCGGACTGGCTGGACGCCGCGTTCTTGTTCTACGACGAGCACGCGCGCCTGGTGAGGTGCAGGATCGGGGACAGTCTGGATAACAAGAAGCTGAAGACGGATTACGAACCCGTCCGTATTCAATGGCGCCACTCGAAGAGGGTCCCCAAGACGAAGTCCGCGACGACGACGACGAAGAAGAAGAGGGAGCTGACCGATCTGTCGAAGTTCCCCCTCGTGCTGAACAAGGCCATCAGCGTGGCGGTGCCCAGACCGAGGAAGAACAGGAGCAAGGCAGAGAAGGAGGAAGAGGAGGAGGTGGTCGTGGTCAAAGGGATTGAGATAGACCGGAGCCAGGTCATCAAGTTCGACGTGGCGCTGAACGACGATGACGATGGGGCCCCCGCGGGGCCCCGGGACACGGAGTTCGCCGGCTCGTTCGTCAACGTGCCGCACAGGCAGAAGCCCGGGGCGAGCAAGTTCAAGACGGCGCTGACGCTGGGGATAACGGATCTGCTGGAGGATCTCGGTGCGGACGGGGACGACACCGTGGTGGTGACTCTGGTGCCAAAGGTTGGCGAGCCCGTGATAGGGGGCCTGAAGATCGATTACCTTGCCGATTGATCGACCGATCGATCGATTCTCGCTCGTCTGTGTGTTTCGACAAATCTCAATCGTGAGGTCGGTCGTTCTTATTTGGTTACTTCATCATTCCCGTTTTGCCGAGGCAAATAAATAACGAACCTTTTTCGGTTTCTATATCTAGCCAATCGGTTTATTAATTTATGTACTATCACGATGTTTGCGTGTATTATGTACTTGAACTTGTCAATTAAGGTTGCCTTGTATGATACTCTAATAAAATTGGCATCTTTTTCCCCCTTCAATATGACTATGAATCACAATATGCACGATCGAAAGATGCAAACACATGCTTACAATAAACCTTGCATACCTAGTAGCCGAATTGCTTGTTGAGGTGTTTTGTAATGTGTCAATAATGTTGTAACTTGGTAATTTTGATTAGATTCCCCCAATAATTTCAAACAAGGGGGACCGCTAAAGACAGATTGCCGCTTGGTCGAAAGCAGCCACTAGCCCATTGGTTTGAGGAGGGTAGGTTGGAGTGGTCCCATATAGAGTGGAAAAAATACAACCTAAATTAGAGCTCCGGCCGCCCATGTGCCCCGGCGGCTACTCGAACATTTTGTTTTTTTATATTGAGATTTTATTAAAAGTAGGCATGAAAACGAGTTGATTTATTAGATGAATTGAATCGATTGTTATGGTTTATATGGATTTTGGGTCGCACTAAAATAGAGTTACCCTGTTCTTTTTTTAGTGAGATTGATTGGATTTGAATTGAATTCAATTTAGACCAACTCATTTAGATTAGTCCCAAACAGTCTTTTTGAGTCGAGATAATCGTACACGCAGCAAGAAAATTTGGGTAAACTCCCTCATTAACTACTTTCAACCTAGTTACATGTTTAATGTAGATGTTCGACCTTTCTGTTCGTTCCCTAACAAACAAACAAAAAAAAAAAGACAAAATTTGCCTCGAATCGAGTATCCATTTTCTTTTGAGCACCGAATACTATGGCTGCAATTTTGACCTAAACTAAAAATTTGGAAATGATGGGTCTATCCAAAATTAAATCTCATAAGGCTTTCATTTGTGGAGCATATAAAAATGTGATTCAGACCAATACCTAATAACTCGAGTTATTAATACTAAAAAGTTATGTATAAGAATGAATAGCATATTATTTGACTAGGTGACATTGATCTTGACAAAAAGACCAACTTGTTATCACCAAACCGATTTTTTAGAAATTATTCTCCTCTTAAGCTAGTGGAGACGTGGAGTAGCATTAGCTTAAAAAGGAATCTTGCAAAGTCTTTATATCCGTAGCCGTCCATGGCCAAATTTCATCTTCATTAATTCCCAACATCTCTTCACCCTTTCCCCTGGGAAGAAAAACAATGGCGGCGTGCTTTTCTCCGGCCACCGGAACCATTTCCACCACTCCTCTCCTCCGCCCAACCTCTTCCACCACCGGCCCAAAACCTCCCCACCAACTCCTTGCATTCACGTCCAAACGTCGCATCTCCAGAATTTCATGCGCCTCCTCCGACGAACTACCAAATGACCGAAAAGCCCCTGCAACGAGGAGAGACCTCCTCATCGGAATGGGGGGCATTTACGGCAGCGCAGCCCTCGACCCGTCCATCGCCTTCGCCGACCCGATCCAACCACCGGATCTCACGAAGTGTGGGCCGGCTAGCGTCACCACCACGGGCCCAACCGTCCAATGCTGCCCGCCTTTCAAGGGCCCAGACAATATCATCGACTTCAAGCTGCCGTCCCCCAGGGAGCGGGTCCGGACCAGGCCCGCGGCCCATTTGGTGGATAAGGCCTACATAAAAAAATACGAGCGGGCCATCCAGCTCATGAGATCGTTACCCGACGACGACCCGAGAAGCTTCAAACAACAGGCCGACGTCCACTGCGCTTATTGCAACGGCGCCTACGACCAAATCGGGTTTCCGGAAACTGGGCTTCAGGTCCATTTCTCATGGATCTTCTTCCCTTTCCACCGCCTCTACCTCTACTTCTTCGAGCGGATCTTGGGGAAGCTGATCGACGACCCGACTTTTGCTCTGCCGTATTGGAACTGGGATTCCCCGCCGGGGATGAACATGCCGGCGATTTTCACCGACCCGAATTCCCCGCTGTACGATCCGATCCGCAACCCGACCCACAGCGACCCGAGTTTCATGCTGGATCTCGACTGGAGCCGCGAGGATATTGTTGTCTCGCCGGAGGAGCAGATCAAGAGCAATTTGAACTTGATGAATACCCAGATGGTCTCCGGCGCGAAGAAGAGGACTCTGTTTTTTGGGACGCCGTTGAAGGCCGGAGATGCGGCGGCGAATACGGGCCAAGGGTCCATTGAGCGGAGCCCACATATGAATATTCATATCTGGACCGGGGACCCGAAGCAGGCCCATACGGAGGATATGGGGAATTTCTACTCCGCGGGCCGGGACCCGATTTTCTACTGCCATCATGCCAACGTGGACAGGATGTGGGACCTGTGGAAGACGCTGGGCCCCAGGAGGACGGATTTTACGGATCCTGATTGGCTGGAGGCGGCTTTCGTGTTCTACGACGAGGACAAGAATTTGGTGAGGTGTAAAGTTAAGGACTGTCTTGACTCCAGGAAGCTCAACTATGACTATCAAAAGGTAAATAAGATTTTCCCCTAGCTTAGTTCAAGTACATTTACATTTTTTACTATTGAATTCATATGTTTTGCTAGTAATATTTGTTCTAGCTCGAATTGTGCCCTTCTACGAGTTCGTCGAATATTCACGAGGACTGGAATAGTGTTAGACAGATATGCATGTGCTTAGGTATGTCATTATTATGATCGGTGGTTTTCAACAGGTTCCGCTTCCATGGCTCGATACCAAGAGGACGCCAAAGGCAAAAAAGAAAACCTTGGCTAATGCTTTCGCCACGGAAAAATTCGCGAATGCTGCTCCACCGAAGAAGCGGGAGCTGACGCCCCTCTCGGCGTTCCCGTTGGTGCTTAACAAGGCGATAAGTGTGGTGGTGCCGAGGGGGAAGAGGTCAAGGACCGTGGTGGAGAAGGAAGAGGAGGAAGAAATTCTGGTGGTGGAAGGGATCGAGTTCGATAGAGGGAATGTCGTGAAGTTTGATGTGGCTTTGAACGACGAAGATGATACTGGGGTCCCTGCTGGGCCCCAGGACACTGAATTCGCGGGGACGTTTGTCAACGTCCCTCACAGAGAGAAGCAAGGGGCCCCGAGTTTTAAGGCGGTGCTGAGGCTAGGGATAACGGATTTGCTGGAAGATCTGGGTGCTGACGATGATGACACGGTGGTGGTGACTTTGGTGCCGAAGGTCGGCGAGGTTAAGATTGGTGGATTGAAGATCGATTACATCACTGATTAATTGATGATTCAAGGTTGTCTATGGCTCAAAGAACTACATGGGGTTTTGTGTAATGTCCCTATAGACATGTTTGTGTAATGTCCCTATGGTTGCTGATTCTTTACTTCTATGTGATTTTGAGAATTACTGTCATTGTGTTAGAAATGATAAGTTATTTTATGGATTAAAAGGAACTGAAAAAATAATTGAGTTGATAGCGGAGACAATTTTCGTAGATGATCCATTTGTGAATGATTGTCTAGTAAGATATATGTTGAGCACTGCATATAGTGAGTAACACATAGTTTACTTTTGTTATAACTTGAATTAGTTGGATACTTTCTTATTCAATAATTTTTAAAATTATTATTTAAATTCAATTTTTGAACGAGACATCCCATATGTAAAATTTCTGCGTCACTGGGACACTGACAATATGATTTTCATTAGAAGGAGAAGGCGATCCCGCAATTTACAAATGAATCCAAGAAGGAGAAGAAGAAAGAAGAACAAAAATGGCTACATTTGTTGGTTTTTCTTTTGTTAGACGACGGTCTCGTGGAGAATCAATCTCAATCAGTCGAGAACTCTCTCTCTCTCTCTCTCTCGCTACTTCCCTAATGTCACCCAAAAGAAAAGCCAGTTTATGTACGAACGAAACCCTAATAATAACGAACAAGAAGCCACTTCGGCCGTCCATTTACTAACATCAATCGTCCCTTTACATTTTTTCACCCACCGGAGTAAAGGCTTAATTTACTGATTAATTAGCTTCCTGCATCCGGCGATGATCTTCCTCTATCTGCTGGGCCAATTCTTTCGTCAGCCTATCTGCGCGATCGTCGTGCCCGCCGGCGAACGTGTACACTCTGAACGCGAACTGGAACGCCCTCCACAACGTCTTGCAGCACGTCTTGCTCGGTTGACCTCCGTTGCTAGTAGCAATTTTCCTTTCCTGAGTAGAAGAACGAGAAAAAAATCTCAACTTTGACGATGAAATGGATGGGTTAGAACAAATAGCATGAACTTCAATATCCCATTGTGAAATCGACAATGCAATAATATAAAAAATTGCACAGATTTAGTTATGGTTCATAATTACGATGTGTGTCAGCTAATTTTAGAGTTGTTGGGAGAAGGTTGGTTTTTATACATGCCCATGTATGGTACTTAAACACTTCCTTACACGCCCCCTCAAACGAAAATCGACTCATGGGCTTGAAGTTTGCACAGGCCCGCCATACCATGTGCTTGAAAGACAACGATTAATATTGGGGGTCGTGAGGACTTGAACACGGGGCCTCAAGAACAAACCAGCTCTGATACCATGTCATAACCCAGTTGGTCCCAATAACTCGAGTTGTTGAGGAGAGGTTCAATAATGGATCTTATACCACTCACTAACACACACCCTCAAACGAAAGTAAATAGGGTCACCGAAATTCGAACACAAGACCTCCAGGCCACAACAGGCTCTGATACCATGTCAATAACCAGTTGATCCCAATAACTCGAGTTGTTGGGAGAAGGTTATGTTGAATTTTATACAGGCCTATGTATAGTACTTAACCACTTCCTTACCCAACTTCCTATCGAGGACAAATAATCTGTTTTTAAAATCATAGCAACACATACCTTGAGGGCCAACTCCATGCAATTGGAAGACAGGTCCACCACGGCTTCTTTGATTTGGACGAGGATCTGGAGGTCGAATTCGATGTTGTGGTTCTTGAATCTCTTGCAGTCTTCCTCCTTGTTTCGCTCGAATGCATCCATATCTCCCTTCGCCTGGAACGTCTTTTGTAGTGTTTGTTAATATGGCAGTGTTTGGTCAAAAAATGCAAAGAGGGATTAGTTCATAGAGTGAGGAGATATGAGTACCTTGTTGAAGTACCGTTCGATCCTGTCGAGGAGTCGATCCAACGGGGACTCGATCTTCCACGTCTGTAGGTCGGTGACGATCCCTTTTAGCTTGCAGTAGAGTGCAGCTGCTGACCTTACCGCTTCCAGCTTCTTCTCCGGGAAGCCTTCGAACCTCGAAAGAACCTGCATCGTGGAGAGAGCGCGTGGCATTATTTTGCGTAAGAAAGTGGTTAAATATCATATAACACATTCATCAAAAAAATATCATATAACAAACAATCTCGTTCAACAATTTGAATTACCGCGAGATCGGTTGATTTATAACGATGTTATGTCAATTTGGGAAATTAAATTTAGCTTCGTTTGCTAGACCTGTAATTAGGATCGTAAAAAAGATCCAATTTTTTTGGGCACTCTCTAAATCTAACTTAGTATAGAGTAAAATCAGGCTTGGTAAATTTCACTATTGGGCAGACTCGTATATAAATTTTTTAGTTTTGTCTAAATTGGACTCATATTATTGTATACCCGAAAGAAAATGAATGCCCGATTCAAATGTAGTTTTGCCTTATTTTTTTTTTATCATGAAACAAACAGAAAGGTGGAAACACTAACATTAAAAGTGTATAATTGAGTTGAAGACGATTTATGAGATGTTCGATATTATTTTTCTTTTTGTTTAAATAGATTTATTTTAGTCTGACCCAAATGAGCTGATTCAAAATCGATGAACCGAATTCGAACCCGATCCAAATTCAAAATCATTAAAAAATACATTTAGCCAAATATGAGTTCGATTCAATACCAAAAGAGTCATGAAAACTGAGTCTGTCACCCAATGGGTCGACCGATTGCCATCCCTACCTGTGTCTCGTCGGTGAGATTCTCAAGAATCGATTCAACGTGGTTGTAGAAGTTGACCAGCTCTACCATATCCTTTGTCTTGAAGCTGCTGATTTCCTTCTTGAGCTTTGTTATTTCCTCAGCATAGGTATGGACGTCTTCCTCAATTTGTTGGAAGTATGCTGATCTAAGATATCATGGACAACAGTGAAATTAAGTGAGGGACATAGATAGGGAAGAAGAATATAAATATATAATGCCATCAGAATGTTGGAAACTCAGAATCCTTTACCTCCTTGTTATCTCAGCGAGTGCATCCGCCATTCCTTGCTTCCCACCGCCGCTGTTGCCGGAACCCGAGCTCACTCTCCCCCTTTGTGACTTCACTTGATTACCTCCTTCTACCTTCCCCTTCAACAGCCTGTACAGATTCCCCATTTGGCTCGACCTCTTCAGCTTCGTGTGTGCCTTCTTGGGCCGTAGTAGCTTAGTTGCACCCGGTGGAGGAGGTGGTGGCGCCCCCGCCGCCGCCGCCGGCGGCGGCGGTCCATCTTTCGATGGTGAAGGTGGCGGCGCCTTGCTCGAACCCGATCCAATCGAAGCTGCCCTAGGTGGCGGTGGTGGCGGCGGCGGTTGCAATAATGGTTGGGACTTCAAAACGGGTGGACTTCTAGTGAGAAGTGGATGTTGTTGAGGGACCACGACGGCATCTTTTTTTGGTGAAGGCAAATTTGGTAAAGGTGGAGGTTGAGGAACCGCACATTTTTCAAGTGTGTCACATGAAGGCAAATTTGGTAACGGTGGAGGTTGAGGAAGTGCACTTTTTTCTAGTGTGTCACATGAATGCAACGTTGGTAACGGTGGAGGTTGAGGAAGTGCACTTTTTTCTAGTGTGGCACGTGAAGGCAACGGTGGAGGTTGAGGAACTACTACATTGTTGGTTTTTAGTGTAACCCATGAAGGAAATGGCGGTGGTGGTGGTGGTGGAGGTTTGGGTGGCCGCCACCGCGGAGGTGGTGGAGGAGGAGGAGGAGGTTTTGGTCCCGTTGTGGGTTTGTGTTCCTTGGTTCGCAAGTCTTTTTGGCTTCCGTCCATTTCAAACGGCACGTTCTCGTGGCTCTTTGCCCTACTACTACTCCCTTTGTGCCTACGGTGGTGGCGATGATGATGAGATCCCGAGCCGCCGTGGGGGAACAAGTGGAAAGACATGTGTTTGACGTCGAGGCGGCTGAGCTTCCCGCCGACCGCCTGGAAGCTGAGGAGGCGGAGGAACGGGGAGGAGCAGTACAAGGTGGAGAACTCCTCAGCCTTGGGAGAAGAAGCACAAGATATGGTGAGCTCGGGGAGGACCGACGTGGGAGTGTTGACCGGGGAGGAAGAAGCGGTGAAGGGAGTGTTGGAGGACTCGGAATAAGACCTCCCTACTAAGACCTTTTCGTGGTGGTCCACGAGATCACACCTGCTCGTAGTACTGCTACGAGCAGAGGTGATCTCGTGGCTATGATCGTCGTCCTCCTCGTCCTCGTCTGCTACGACGTGCTCAAACTTCTCATATGATATCTTGATCAAGCAATCGAGTGTTGCCAGTGCAAGTTCGACTACAAAGGAAATGAGCGATACGGCGATGTTAGATGCGAATGATGGGGTGAAGATCGAGTTCTCTCTTTCGTGGGTTTGGAAAAAATCGTTACCTAGTTGTTCCGAGTTCAATTCGTCCATGTTGTTCTGTTTGTATGATGTCGATTTGTCCATCCACTCATCATCGTCACTCGTTGTCACCCAGGCGTCTCCAACGGATCTTAAAGCACCACACAAGTATATCAAAACCTGCATAAATATGCTTAGCTTGAGACCTCCTAAATGAATGCATCACAAGTATTTCAAAATATCCATTTGGATGTATTTGAAATCTAAAAAATTCAGATAATAAGAAAGTTCAAAACTTTCAAATTCGCCATTGCTACATCAAAATGTCATTCTCCTACGTGACTAATTCGAATTATGCCCTTATCTAAAATGCATACATTCTCGAGTCGAACTACACATATTTTCGACAACCATAGGAAAAAAAATGACCCACGAAGTTTCGGAGAGTAACCAAGTGAGCAAATTACCTCATGAATTGAAGCTCCCTCCTTGATTTCTGACAAATCTTTGATTGGTAGGATTTCAGGGTAGAGACTGTGAAGATTACTCATGGTTTCCGTCACCAGCTACCAGAAAAAAAAACAAGCAAATTAAGCAAAACCCTTCTTGTATTAACAAAGAATTGAGCTTAAACAGTAAGAAGAATTTCGGTTTTTACTTTATTGATAAAAGCAGAGACATCACATGCCGGCAGATCGAATACATCCCGGAACTGAATGATCTTCTTCCGGAGGTCCATCATCAGGACGACCAGACCCGTCGACCCGCCCCGACTCGAGCCATTCTGTTTAGGTCTCGGTGCTGAATTCTTCTTCTCCCTCCTCTTGCTTGATTGCCCTCTCACCACCTGCATCAAAATGTCTAAATCAATTTTTTCGTGGTACGTTGGATCGCTAAATCTGTTGTAAATTGATCCCTCTGCTTGTAGAAAAATTGTTTTTTTTATGAACAAAAGATCCATCGAAGTACGTACCTCGGGTCGAACATTTTTTCGTTCCGATGGAAATGGTCTGAACCCGCATAAGATCCCAGTTGGCATTGCTTGTGATAACATAACGATATTGTTAATTATTAATTCGTGATAAGAACACAATGAAACAAAAAAAAAATCCAACGTTTAAACTAGAAACAAGAGTGTATGAACTAAAAAAAAAAAATTGTAAAAGGAACAGAGGAACAGCCTGAAGAATAGGATCATATTCAATATTTCTACACATTCAAAAATTACGTGTAACACATGAACAAAATCGCGTCGAAAATATTTTAATTCATTAGGGTGTTAGCGTGGTAAAATTTGTGAGGAATGGATATGATTGATTACTTGCAGCCTGCTGGGACCTCCTCCGGCCAAGAGGGCCAAGAAGGTGACGGAGGTGCAAATTTGGTTTTTTCAAATGGAAGGCTCCGCTCCAGCCACCGGCGACATGTTCGTTGTTGGTTGTCCGGACGACAACATGATCGCCGGCGGAGGTTTCATGTTCTTGTTGATCTTCTCCTTCTCCTTCTTCTCTATTGTTTTCTTCTTCCGGTTGGAGGGTGATCGACATTCAAGGCAGCTCTCTCCCCTAACAATTCGTTTCTTCTTCTTCTTTCTTCTTTGCCTGTTCATTCCTTCCAGTTAGAATCGTAATTTTTTCTCTCTCTTTCTGTTTCTCGTGAGGAAGAAAGAGAGAGACGGACAGACGAGAAACAGAAAGAAAGAGAAGACGTGGGAGAGAGCTCCTTTGAACGACGAGCTAATTTCCTAAACCAATTTGTATTTTTACGTGTAAATGTTGGTTTTGTTTTTCCCTCCCTAAGGTTATATCTCAATGGAGTAACAAATTCCATACACTTTTCATCTTTGCTAAAATGAAATGCAAAAAAACAAATTCTTCATGTCTTTGGGGTTTTGGTGTCATTACCATTTTCACTAGACATCCTATTATTGATGAAGTTTGAGAGAATGCTAGACTATGAATTAGGATGAGGTGGAAGGTCAATCTACTATACTTTATATCAAATTGGACTAGACAAAACTATTGCGAAGATTTTGGTTATTTCTTGCAAACGAGTTTTATCGTAGACACACCTCTTTTTTTTTTTTTTTTTTTTTGGGTAGAGTTTGTTTTAAATAAAACTATTACGTTGACTCAATTTTTTTTATTTAAAACAAGTTTTATCATATACTACATGGACAAATCGTTTTTTTGTTAGAAAATGAGTCAAACTCGAGTTTGATCCATTAACCACTTCACGAGTCATGAGTTCGACTCGATTTCAGCTCAGTTTTTAATTTTAACTTGTCAACTCGATAAAAAAATACTAGTTAATTTTTCATAACTAATTGATCTTGTATTTATATACGTTGTTGATTCGTATATTTTAACTATTTCATATTTTATTATTTTAGAGTAACCAGCATTCAAGATTTATGGTAAGGGGGTCTAGGGGGGAAAAACTAGGATCTTGAGTGATGAGAGATCCTACCAATTATCAGTGTTTGTTTCTCACATTATCTAAAACATTATAACCAACAATCGAGGGGCCATGCACTACACATAGCTCCATCACTATATCTAATATGTTTGTTTCTAACAAATAATTTCTCTTCCAAACTGTAAATTCAGACATATTTTGGTGCATTCAAACTAAAAAATCAGATGAATTTTATGTGAAAATTCATCCACGCACGATTAAACGAAAAATATATAATTCAAATGAGACATATATTTGATGCATTCAAACTCAAAAATTTAGAAAACGATTTGTCCATGTAGTATATTGCATGCACCCAAACTCAGAAAAAATGTATCATAAATTATCCTTATGGAAAGACTCTCAGCAGAAATGTTCTCAAGAAAATCAAAGATCTCTGTTGCGGATTGTAATTAGTTGCCGTTATCGGGCTGTCCAGCACCGTTGCGGCCGTTTCTTTCTCTCGTTTCCCTGTCTCTCTCGTCCTTTCTGAACTTAATCCCACAAGCGTTGCACAGTGTCTGCGATACCAAACAAAGCCTAATTAGAGTTGTCAGGAAAGATCCAACAACTATAATCGAAAGATATGCACATTAGGTTATCTTTGCATCTTTTTTTAATAATAACTCGAGTTATTAAAATCAACTCATAAAAAAAAGTAATACGGGAAAATATCGTAGAATGGTCAGAGGGGGTAAAAGCATGCATACGTACCTTGCCGCCACCAGGGCCACGGCGCCACATGGGAGTGTCGTTGTTGTTGCAACGGATGCACCTCTTGCCCTGCGGGAAGTAGTTCCCGCCTCCACGCTGGCGACGCATCCCGACGTTCTCCACCCCCACTGCAGCAGCAGGAGCAGCAGCCGCAGTTGCAGCCGGCTGCGGATTATTAGCAGCAACAGCAGCAGTAGCAGCAACAGTGTTGTTGCTGCTGCTGTTGTTGTTGCCTGCTCCCGCTGCTGCTGCTACCATTAGCTGCAGCGGCAGGTACAGCTGATAGCCATTCATATTCGCGCCACCATTGGCCGCCGCGGCGGCCAGTGGTGGTGCGGCTGTCAGCTGTACCGGAACTCCCAACACCATATTACCACCAGCAGCAACAGCGTTACCGTTGTTGTTGCTGTTGTTGTGGCTAGGGATCTGGTACATCAGTGGGGCGGCATTTCCTGCCGCAGCCAATCCTTGGCCGCCAGCTGCAGGGTTCATCATCAGCCCGCCGCCACCCTGCTGCATCATCATGTTGAGGTTGATGACCGGCGGCTGCGGCGGCGGAGGAGGAAGCTGGGAGTTCATCATGGTCATGTTGCTGCTGCTGCCGTTTTGAGGAGGTGCAGATGGTAAAGCAGCAACCTGCGACCTCAACCAAGCCATCCGTGCGTTGTTGTCGATGTTGTTGTTGTTGGTAAGGGTGGGAAAGGTGGGGTGGACGGCGGGGGCTTTGCCGTTGTTTCTTCCACCGCCGCCGATGTGGTAGTAAGTAGGGTTGGTGGTGTTGTTGTTGTTGGTAGGGGTGAGATAGGTGGAGTTTCTATGGCTTCCAGCACCGGTGCTGCTCTCGCCGGTGTAGAAATGAGTAGGGTTGTTGTTGTTGTTGTAGTAGTTTGGTTGCTGGTTGATCAACCTGAAAGGTGGCGGAGGAGCTGGATTGGAGCTCTGGCCGCGTTCATAGTATCGCTGGTTCGTCATGACACGATTGATCACATTGTTGTTGCTGGGCACCATGGTCCTGTTCATCCTCGTCAGCTGACCAGTAATCCTCCCGCCCTGCAGTTTTTCACCCAAAAAAAAAAAAGGTCAAAGTTGTGGGACAAGTTGAACTGTAGGTTTGAGCACACGACTTGCCGCTTGATCAAGGCAATGCTCTATGATTAAACATGGCAATGGTTCTGAGAATTTGACTCAATTTTCAATATTCATATGGGATCATATTCAAATGGTTTCGTATGCATTTTTAATAGTTTTGAGTTTGGAATGCTTTTGAATTGTGTCCTATTTGGGTCAGTCTATTTGGTCTAGATGTTGTATATACAAAAAAAAAAAATATATTCGTTTCATTAACTAGTTTCAATCCAATTATACGCTTTTAATGCAGGTGTTTCTACTTTTTCTATTTGTTTCAAAATGAAGGGGAAAATAAGACGTAAATTGCATTATAATCGGGCACCTATTTTCTATCGTACATGCAACAACGCTATGGATCCAATTTACACCCTAACTACAAAAAGAAAAAAAATTGGGTATAGATGTGCATCAAAAGTCAAATTAATAAACTTGATTCGACTCCGAAAGAAATTGAGTTTGGAAATACCCAAATATAAGCTCGTTTTTTGCCATCCCTATTTATGATTCAATGCATGCATAAGAACTTCTTAGTGATCACCAATGGAGAGTAAAAATGAAGTGATCAGAATGTGTACCTGTGGAGTACTGTTGTTTGGAGCCGGAGAGCTGGAACTGATGAAATTGGCTGGTGGTGGTGGAAATTGCATGGAGTTGAGAACGGGAATATTAGTGTTGTTAATCTGCCCGAAATTGCTGTTATTGGCTGGTGGTGGTGGTGGTGGAACTTGCATGGAGTTGAGAACGGGGAAATTAATGTTGTTAAGCTGCCCCAAGTTGTTGTTGTTATTAGCAGAATAGCTTCTTCGATGAACAGTTTGGTCTTGATTAGGGTTACTGGCTTCGTTAGGCAGCTGCTGATCATAATTCGTAGGAAGGTCGTCGTCATCGGGGAAGCCCAGAGACAGGTTCAGATCCAAGTTCCTCACCCTTGAATTCCCAGCTGCTGATCCTTTTCCAGCTCCATTGTTGTTTTGCTTCTGGGAACGATCCATTTGGAAAAAAACTTCGAGAGCTGGAAGAAAACAAGGGAAAAGTAAGAGGGGCAACAAGTGAAATCAGAGAGTGTATAACCGAATCTCACTAGACCCGCCTTCTACATATTTTTTTCCTCGCTCCAATTTTGCATAACTCATTATCAAAACCTTATAACCACACTATTATTTCGTATCTTTTTCTCTCTCAAATTCACACAACTCGTCACGTATCCCCCTCATTTATTTTCCTACTGTTGTTTTAGTCTCAATATTGATGCCAGACGATAAGAACTGAATAAGTAACTAAACGTGTTTTCTGTTTCTGTTGGTTGTCGACTTCCATTAAGAATTGCCGACTAAACATGTTCATATTGTTGTAGTTGTATCTCTGTTGTCACAACTCTACTGCCACAACGACGACAACAAAACTATATTAAACGGGGTCTTATACCAAATTGTATCCTTTTGTGTTTTATACTAACTAGTAAAGTATATATCAACCTTGAAAAATATTGTTTTTGATGTGATAGCATAGTTTTATCTATGTTATCACAACTTTATTATAACCGCGACAACAACAAAATTATACTGAATCGAGCGTTTACTTCACTTACGAGTATAAGTTGTCACGCAAAGACATGCATGGAGGTAATAAAGAGGACCCAAAAAAAAAATGGAAACTGGATGTCTGACACACTGCATTGCATGCCCGAGGAAAGCCGTGTAATGATGAAGAAAAGGCAGCATTTTGAACGTGAATGAGTTCTTTTGGCATATTAATTGAAGTTTTGGAACTATTCCCACGGCGAGATCCTATCCTAGATGATCAGTCGGCAAACCAAGTCTATGAAGAAAATTTAGATCGAACAGAGATCAAATATTCATTGCATAACACAATCAGAGAAATTAACAAGAACTAAGCTAAGTGAAGATTTGAACCTCAGGCTTAACTTTTGCCTTTGAAAGAGGATTTTTCACGTGAAGAGTAAGATTCTTGTGTTTTTTTCAGGTGAAAATGAAAAACAAGTTTATCTAAAATTGAAGAAATTGACGGCGGATTGGCACTGAAAAGACTTGAGTTGGACCAAGCCAAATTGATTTCTTTCTTCCTCAATTGTTTTTCATGCCAAGGACAAATGTTTTTTCAAACAAGAAATCGTATCCCCAACCAGACATCATATCTAGATTGTACTCGTTTATGGTATCATCGAATAGAATTGACCAACACTGACTTGTGTTTGTGAGAAAAATGAAATGAACAAGAAGGAGAATCGATAATAAACAACAAACAAAACAAACTAACAATCAGAGAAGCCAAAGACAAACAAACAACGAACTGAGATGAATGAAATCAGAGAGGGCAGGGACATACATGTTGATAACTGAGAGAGGCACTGCTAGCCTAGCTTGAGCGAGAGAGATCTCACTGGTAGTACTGTTGGGCGCACGACCTGCACCAAATGAAAATGTCCCCTTTTAATAGCGGCTACTTTGAAAGCTGAGCACGCAAATATGGAAGTTAAACTAT